AGCAAAGGCCTCTGCTTGCCTCCACGGGGCCAGACAGAGCCCTTCCCAGGGGCTGCTGCTAGCCACGAGAGCCCATGCTGCAGGCCTGCAGCGCATGGCCCAGGGCCTTTCTGGGGCAGGGTGTCTACTGGTTAGAGCAGGGAACCGGAGTTCTGTCCCCCACCTGCACAGTCACTAACCTGCCATGCTGTAGGTGCCACTCTGTGGGCATGGTGGTGTCACACCAGAGCCGCACTGCCCCTGGACTCTGTTCCCCCTTTAACCTCTTGGGAAGGGCTCAGGGGTCACGGGGCGGGAGGGGACGTCAGGGCTGGGAGCAGAATGATGTGTGGCCCCTTTGTGCTGCTGATGCTGGTGGCTTCTGGGCTGCAGAGATGCAGCTTCCAAGCAGCCACAGGCAGAGCAAGGCTCTCTGCCGTCGCCAACCTGAGCCCCAACACCAGGCGCGTCTGCGAGGCCGCAGGCACAGACCGAGGGCCAGGCGGCAAGTCGCACACTCCAGCTGCGGAAATGGCCAACAGATCGTTCAATTCACTGCACCAGCCCCCGCCAGTGGGCCTGGCATAGGTGCTCTGGGGCCCACCACTGGAGGGGAGAACACACGGGGCGCCGCTCACTGTGCGCACTTTGCCACTCAAACCCAGGGCTCAGTTACTTGCAGCTGCCATGGCCTCTCCTACTGCGAGGCGCGTGAGAGGGAAAGCCGCTGTCTGCTCCCGCTCCACCATGGATGTGGGAAGGGTCGGGGGCTTGGGCGAGGCTCTCAGGATTGGCCATTGCAAGGGAGGCGAGAGCAGCCCTCAGAAGAAGCAGCTGCCACGCTGGGAGGGGGATGCTGCAGAAAGCTCACGATAGAAACCCTGGGGTTCCTGGCTGTACATGTCACACACAGCCAGCCCCTCCCCCCGGATGCGCCTCTCACTCAGCCTGGTGTAAATCAGGAGCACCTCCAGGGAAACGCAGGCCGCTGCTCTCGCAGGCAGGGTGAAGGCATTGGAGAATCAAGCCCCAGGAAAGCGCCCCAGCATGCAGGCCCCCAAGCCAGGAGAACAGGGTTGAGAGCAGCCCAGGAAGCAAGTACATGACATGATCCTGGCAGCTGAAGCCAACCGGCCCCAGGTTTGCTGCTGGCACCTGCTTCCCTCGCACCATGACCCAATCTGGCACACTTCTCCCTGCCCCAGCGTGCCCACTGGCACACCTCTCCCCGCCCCAGCGCGCCCACTGGGACCCACTCGCACACTGGGAAACATTGGCACACGAGACCTGCTGCCTGTGGGTGCAAACACTCCAGAGCATTCCCAAGGCCCGGCAGACCCATCATGGGTGGGTGGGTGGGTGGGTGAGCGGCATTCTGGGCACAGCTCCAGGTGATGGGTGCTGGGTGGGGGGGCACTGGCTTTCCACTAACACCCATTTCACCAGCCTCTTCCCTTGGCCTACAGCTAGGGCCTGGAGAGGGCTGCTGCGGTACCCTCCGCTCTCCAGGCAGGCTCCAGCCCCCTTCTATGAGCAGCCTCTGACCAGCAGCAGGGAAGGGCACCCCCTCACTGCCCTAAACCAGAGACTCAGCCCAGCCTCGGGGCTTGCAGGGAGAGTCCAGGGACTTTGGGCTAGGTCCCTTCCCAGCCCCTTGGGCCCTGGCAGAAAAGAGAGCCGTGGGGTCCCTCAGAGAACCCCAGCTGGCTCCCCAAAGCCAACGGGCCAGGAGTAGGCTCTGCTCCAGAAGTGCCTTTTGTTAATGAGCTGACAGTGCTCAGGGCTGGGGCTCCCAGGGAACAAGGGCAGCTTTGGGCCTGGCTGCTACTGGGTGGTACACACTCAGGCTGAGAGAAGCACATGGAGCTGGGCTTGGCCCCTAGGGAGACTGACTCCGTGGGAACCTGGCAAGCCGGATGTGCTGGGGGATCAGCTCATTGGAACAGTGTAACTAAGCATCACCTGGCAGGAGCAGAAACACCTCATGGGAACCCCTCTACGGCCCACAACCAGAGCCCCCTCTGCAGCCAGCAGCCCTAGGCTCTGCCCCCACTGGGCACCTAGCACGGATCACTGCACAGCCGGGCAGAGACAATGTTGAGCCTGACCAGCTGGCATTTCACACCCACTCTGCCCAGGTGTAAATGACGCACCAGGAGTAAGGCAGGGGGACTGGCACCTGTGTGGGGCACAGCGTGTGGTGGGCTGCCTGGCAAAGGGTGCTGTCAGCAAGCAGCCCTGGCTGAGGCAAGGGAGAGCAAGCGCTGGGCATCATCACAGAGCCAGTGCCCTAATGACTGCCCGCTGTGGCTCACGCCTCTTTCATGAAGCACACGTTAGGTCTCTGTGGGACTTGACACTGGACATCAGTGGGAGAGGCTGGGAGCTAGGACGAACCCCACCCCCCAACACAAAGCACCACACCAAGGCTGGAGCTCCTTCCCGCAGCCCTAGGTAAGCTCCTCCGCCAAATCAACACCCGACAGGCAGCTGAGAGGGAGAGCGAGGGCTCCACATGTGCACCCTCCCCCACCCCAATTCCTGTCTACACCTGTGAGTGCTCCAGCAGAAGCAGGGCCCGGTTTGTGACAGCAGTAAGGTACAAGCTCCTGGGAAAGCCCCTGCTGCCCTCCAGGCCAGCAGGCCCCCATGCCCTCAGACGTGCTCACTGGGATAGAGGGGCCACAGCAAACAGCGCCGTCCTGAACAAGTGCCCCTTGCTGGGGGTGCTGCTCAGCACCAGGGCACAGGATGCAGCCCCCAGTGCCCTGGAGTGGGTCCTGCCCCCCTTATAAAGCAGTCAGCACCCAGACTCCAGTACAGGGCACACAACAGGCTCAGAGACCTTAGGCAGAGAGCAGCCCAGCACAGCCCCACCCCAGGCATGGAGAGGGAGTTTGTCAGCAGCTGCCTCCTCTGCCCTCAACTAGCTCCCTGCCAGGGGGCGCTCCCAGAGGGGAGCAGCCCATGGCTGGGAGATGGGGGGGGATCCTCTGAGCCCCTGGTGCCGCATGCCCTGTTCCTTGCTCAGACCAGTTTCTCCCTCCCTCCTCCCTGAGTTTCGCCTGCCGACCCCCACTTCCTCACTGAAGTCATAACACTGGTCTTGTGACATCACAGCCTGTTGCCATGGAAATGGTTGTGATGTCCCAAATGCCTGAGGGGGGGGGCCCAGAGGGGGGAGGCCTGGTTGGAACCTGGAGGAGGGGTTATAGATATGGGGGGGGAATGTTTCCCCCAGGCTACCTCTCTGAGATTATGGTCACAGTGACACCTGTGGAGTGCTCCCAAGGCAGAGATCACCTGGCTCCACTGAGGGGACCACAGGGGGTGGTCCCAGGGACAGACTGAGGGAAGCTGGGATAGTCCTGCTCAGAGACAGCTCTGTGCCTGGTGGCTCCCCCTTCCACACAGGGCCCTGCTCCCCACCCCAAGCCAGGCTTCTCATGGGAGGGAGGTGTCATCACAGGCCTCTGGGGCAGGAGCAGGGGAAGCTGCTCCCAACCCGAGCCCTGGAGCAGGGAACAAGCCGAGGCTGTGCTGAGAGAGCGCCTGGGACAGGAGTCCTGGCTCTCTGCTCCCAGTGGTCCGAGCTGGAGCAGGTGCTGGGGGTCAGCGAGCCAGCCTTGCTCCAGAGGGTTTGCAATGGCCCTGCCGGCTGCAGCCAGTCACGCCCAGCTCTATGGAGCCTGGCTTGTCTCTCTGGATTGACAGTGGTGGAGCTGAACTCAGGTCCCAGCCCACGCGCCCAGGGGGGCCCTGCCAGCCCTCCACCATCAGCGCTGAGCAGCACCCATCTGAGCCTGCAAAACCTTCCTCCCAGCAGGACACGGGGGACTTTTGTTCTGCTGGAGGCTGAAGCCACACCAGGGACAACAAATGGGCCAGCTGGCAGCGACCCATCAGCCCCCTACCTCAAGGGCTCAACCCATGAGGACCCCTCCTCAGCAGCAAATCCCCCACCAGCTCACACACACAAAGAAGGTCCCGGTGCTCACCGTGGACACTGGACCCTTCCTCTCCCTGCCACCTCCCATCTGCTCCTCCCATCACAACAAAGGCTCACCCAGCGCCTGCTCCAGCCCTGCCAGGCATGCCCCTCTGTGCCCACACTCAATATCCTGAAAGGACAATGGAAAACCCAGACAAATCGATACAACTGTGAGAGCAAGAGGGCAGTGAACCCCCAGTGCCCTGGAGAGACCTTGGGCAGAGCAAAGGCAGCCTGGCTGCAGCTGAGCCACCCCCTGCCCACCCTCAGCCCATATGCCCAGGCTGCAGGAGTTGGCACAAGGGGGAGGGCGCTCTGCTGGGGGCCGCTGGCTATGGAGAAGCCCTCGCACCTCAGGGCAGGGCACTGGCCAGGGACAGCTTTGGGAGTAGCTGACTGGATAGGTAGTTACCCACACAGTGTGTACACCCCCCAGCCCCAGCCCACACACACACACAACTCCTGCACACCCCATACACCCCCTGCTCTTGCACACAACCAGACACACCCCAGCTCCTGGCCCCTGCACACACCCACACCCCTCTGCCTGTGCACAACCCCTGTGCACACCCCCTGCCCCTGCACACGCGCATTTGCACCCCCCCTCCACCCATGCACACACACCAGGGCCCTGGCTCCTATACCCCCCCGCACACAACCTCACACGTGCTACACCCCCCCCCACACACACACACCTCAGCTCCTGCACACCCTCGGCCCTGGCCTCTGCACACACCTACACTCCCCTCTGCCTGTGCACACCCTCCGCCCATGCACACACACCCCGGCGGCCTGGCCCTTGCATACCCCCAGACCTGGCCCCTCCATACACCCACTGTCCCTACACAAACACCTGCACACACACCCCGGCGGTCCCTGCTCACCCCCCACCCTGCCGCCCCGGGCCCGCAGCCCCACACCATTGCCCGTTGGGGTGCCGGCCCCACAGCGCTGCCCCCGGCGGAGGAGCGCCCGGCCCGGCCCGGCCCAGCCCAGCCCAGCCCGGCCCGGCCCGGCCCGGCCCGCTCACCTCGGGCGCACACCGCCAGCCGCAGCAGCTCCAGCAGCTGCCCGCCGAACTCGCACGCGTCCGAGCCCAGCATGGTGCCGCCAGAAGGGGTCGCGCCGCCGCGGGGAGGGTCACGGGGCCATGCAAGCCCCAGGCCGCCAGCCCGAGCCTGCTGCGGGGGAGCGGCCAGTGGGCGAGCCGCGCCGCGCCGCGCCGCGCAGACCGGAGACGTGCGGCCGCCTCCCCGCGCCGCGCCGCCCCAGCCCCAGCCCTCAGCAGCCACCAGACCGCGATGAGCTCATCGCCAGCTCGCCGCGCACACCCGCTCCCCTGCGGCCTGGCGGCCCCTCCCGGGGATGACGGGGGCTGTGCCCAGCTGCAGCCCGGGGCAGGGGCAGCCAGCCGGCCGGGAGGGCACCGTCCAGCTGGGCTCCTCCCCTGTGACTGCGGCGCTGGCTCTGGCCACTGGGTCGGGCTGCCCGCGCCCCGGCTGTGCCGCCAGTCGCCTGGTGGGCAAGGGGAGATGGGTTCAGTTCTCAGCTCTGCCTGGCTTGGTGCAGGGGCCGGCGCCCCCTTCCCAGGTGAGCGCCCCGATCACCAGGTTAGCTGGAGAGTCTAGGGGGACAGGGGACCATTGTGACCATCTGGTCTGACCCCTGTCTGAGACAGGCCAGAGACCTGCCCCCGGAATCCTTCCTGGAGCAGGACTCTTAGAAAAGCATCCAATAGTGTTTTTTAAATGGTCAGTGATGGAGCCTGGTGGTGGTAGATTCTCAAGTGGTTAATGACCATCAATGTCTCTATGTAAAAGAATCAATGGACACAAATCAGACGTCAAGAATTATAACATTCAAAAACCAGTCGGAGAACACTTCAATCTCTCTGGTCACTCGATTACAGACCTAAAAGTGGCAATTCTTCAACAAAAAAACTTCAAAAACAGACTCCAAGGGAGAGACTGCTGAATTGGAATTAATTTGCAAACTGGATACAATTAACTTAGGCTTGAATAGAGACTGGGAGTGGATGGGTCATTACACAAAGTAAAACTATTTCCCCATGTTTATTTCCCCCCTCCCCCCCCCCCCCCCCCCGAACTGTTCCTCAGATGTTCTTGTCAACTGCTGGAAATGGCCCACTTTGATTATCACTACAAAAGGTCGTGTCTCTCCCCCCCCCCTCCTGCTGGTAATAACTCACCTTACTGGTAACACCCATTGTTTCATGATCTCTGTGTGTGGGCGGGGACTCAGGGCTGGGGGTTGGGGTGCAGGGTGGTGCTTACCTCGGGGGTGGGGAGCGGGTTCCCCAGAAGCAGCCTGCATGTCCCTGCAGCTCCTAGGTGGAGGCACTGCCCCTGCAGCTCCCATTGGTTCCCAGCCAATGGGAACTGCAGAGCCAGAGCTTGTGGTGGGGGCAGCGCACTGAGCCCCCTGGCCTTCCCTCCACCTAGGAGCTGCAGGGACATGCCAGCTGCTTCCAGGGAGCTGTGCGGAGGCTGGTAGGGAGCCTGCCAGCCCCGACAACCCTCCCGCCCCAGCACCAGCAGGGGTCCCAGGCAACCCCCCCCAGCACTCATGGCACCCCCAGACCAACCCCCCCCCAGAGCACCCACGACTTCCCCAGCCCAAGCTTTAGTTAGGGGTATATAGTACAAGTCATGGACAGGTCATGGGCCGTGAATCTTTGTTTACTGCTTGTGACCTGTCCACGACTTTTACTAAAAATATCTGGGACTAAAACGTAGCCTTAACTATAAGTCAGGCTTTCTAATCCTTTAATCATTCTAGTGGCTCTTCTCTGCACCCTTTCCAATTTATCAACATCCTTCTTGAACTGTGGACACCAGAACAGGATGCCAGATTCCAGCAACTGTCGCAGCAGTGCCAAATCCAGAGGCTATAGAGTCAGTCTTCTCCCCGATGAATATTTAATTTATACAAAGTGGAGCAGCTGCAAACAGGAAAAATTGAGCGAGACCAATAGCTGAGGAGCAGTTTTGAGAATGTCAGTGATGCCTAAAGGGGCAGTTCAGCATCAAGTCCCTTTGCAGTTACACAGGTCCAGCTTCACAGTCATTAACAAACAGCTAGCACCCCGAATCCTGCTCTAATCACTAGGTGTCACTGTCCTCCCAGAGATGGGACTAGAACCCAGGAATCTTGGATCTCCACTGCTGAAACCATTGTCTGAATGCTTCACAATTGCTAATGAATTGACGCTCACAACCCCACTGGATCATTACCCCCATTTTACACAGTGGGATTAAGGCCAGCACAGGGCATGCCCAACTCCTTGCTCCCCTTCTGTACACTGGGGATCCTGGCTGCAGAAATGCTCCATCTCCTTTGCCAGCCTCAGCAACCGTTCTGCCCACTGCAGCCCTCGATGCGGAAGGGCTGACTCCTGTGGCCAGAGGGGGGTTCTATTTGGCTCCAGCGCACACTGCTGCATGGCAGGTGGTTTGCAAAGAAAGCCAGTTCGGAGCTCTCCAAGTGCACTAGGGAGCTGCTGGGACGTGGCTGAAACACACGCTTCTGTCCAGCTTCTGTCAAGGACAGGTTTCAGAGTAACAGCCGTGTTAGTCTGTATTCAAAAAAGAAAAGGAGGACTTGTGGCACCTGAGAGACTAACCAATTTATTTGAGCATGAGCTTTCGTGAGCTACAGCTCACTTCATCGGATGCATACTGTGGAAAGTATAGAAGATCTTTTATACACACAAAGCATGAAAAAATACCTCCCCCCACCCCACTCTCCTGCTGGCAATAGCTTATCTAAAGTGATCACTCTCCTTACAATGTGAATGATAATCAAGTTGGGTCATTTCCAGACCAAATCCAGGTCTTCTCACCCCCCCCCACCCCCCCCCCCCCACACAAACCCACTCTCCTGCTGGTAATAGCTTATCTAAAGTGACCACTCTCCTTACAATGTGTATGATAATCAAGGTGGGCCATATCCAGCACAAATCCAGGGTTTAACAAGAACGTCTGGGGGGGAAGGGGGTAGGAAAAAACAAGGGGAAATAGGTTACCTTGCATAATGACTTAGCCACTCCCAGTCTCTATTCAAGTCTAAGTTAATTGTATCCAATTTGCAAATGAATTCCAATTCAACAGTTTCTCGCTGGAGTCTGGATTTGAAGTTTTTTTGTTGAAGAATTGCAACTTTCATGTCTGTAATCGCGTGACCAGAGAGACTGAAGTGTTCTCCGACTGGTTTATGAATGTTATAATTCTTGACATCTGATTTGTGTCCATTTATTCTTTTATGTAGAGACTGTCCAGTTTGACCAATGTACATGGCAGAGGGGCATTGCTGGCACATGATGGCATATATTACATTGGTGGATGTGCAGGTGAACGAGCCTCTGATAGTGTGGCTGATGTTATTAGGCCCTGTGATGGTGTCCCCTGAATAGATATGTGGGCACAGCTGGCAACGGGCTTTGTTGCAAGGATAGGTTCCTGGGTTAGTGATTCTGTTGTGTGGTATGTGGTTGCTGGTGAGTATTTGCTTCAGGTTGGGGGGCTGTCTGTAGGCAAGGACTGGCCTGTCTCCCAGGATTTGTGAGAGTGTTGGGTCATCCTTCAGGATAGGTTGTAGATCCTTAATAATGCGTTGGAGGGGTTTTAGTTGGGGGCTGAAGGTGACGGCTAGTGGCGTTCTGTTATTTTCTTTGTTAGGCCTGTCCTGTAGTAGGTGACTTCTGGGAACTCTTCTGGCTCTATCAATCTGTTTCTTCACTTCCGCAGGTGGGTATTGTAGTTGTAAGAATGCTTGATAGAGATCTTGTAGGTGTTTGTCTCTGTCTGAGGGGTTGGAGCAAATGCGGTTGTATCGCAGAGCTTGGCTGTAGACGATGGATCGTGTGGTGTGGTCAGGGTGAAAGCTGGAGGCATGTAGGTAGGAATAGCGGTCAGTAGGTTTCCGGTATAGGGTGGTGTTTATGTGACCATCGTTTATTAGCACTGTAGTGTCCAGGAAGTGGATCTCTTGTGTGGACTGGACCAGGCTGAGGTTGATGGTGGGATGGAAATTGTTGAAATCATGGTGGAATTCCTCAAGGGCTTCTTTTCCATGGGTCCAGATGATGAAGATGTCATCAATATAGCGCAAGTAGAGTGGGGGCGTTAGGGGATGAGAGCTGAGGAAGCGTTGTTCTAAGTCAGCCATAAAAATGTTGGCATACTGTGGGGCCATGCGGGTACCCATAGCAGTGCCGCTGATCTGAAGGTATACATTGTCCCCAAATGTAAAATAGTTTTGGGTAAGGACAAAGTCACAAAGTTCAGCCACCAGGTTAGCCGTGACATTATCGGGGATAGTGTTCTTGACGGCTTGTAGTCCATCTTTGTGTGGAATGTTGGTGTAGAGGGCTTCTACCTCCATAGTGGCCAGGATGGTGTTATCAGGAAGATCACCGATGGATTGTAGTTTCCTCAGGAAGTCAGTGGTGTCTTGAAGGAGTGCTGGTAGCGTAGGGCATGAGGAGGGAGTCTACATAGCCAGACAATCCTGCTGTCAGGGTGCCAATGCCTGAGATGATGGGGCGCCCAGGATTTCCAGGTTTATGGATCTTGGGTAGTAGATAGAATATCCCAGCTCGGGGTTCCAGGGGTGTGTCTGTGCGGATTTGATCTTGTGCTTTTTCAGGGAGTTTCTTGAGCAAATGCTGTAGTTTCTTTTGGTAACTCTCAGTGGGATCATAGGGTAATGGCTTGTAGAAAGTGGTGTTGGAGAGCTGCCGAGCAGCCTCTTGTTCATATTCCAACCTATTCATGATGACAACAGCACCTCCTTTGTCAGCCTTTTTGATTATGATGTCAGAGTTGTTTCTGAGGCTGTGGATGGCATTGTGTTCTGCACGGCTGAGGTTATGGGGCAAGTGATGCTGCTTTTCCACAATTTCAGCCCGTGCACGTCGGCGGAAGCACTCTATGTAGAAGTCCAGTCTGCTGTTTCGACCTTCAGGAGGAGTCCACCTAGAATCCTTCTTTTTGTAGTGTTGGTAGGGAGGTCTCTGTGGATTAGTATGTTGTTCAGAGGTGTGTTGGAAATATTCCTTGAGTCGGAGACGTCGAAAATAGGATTCTAGGTCACCACAGAACTGTATCATGTTCGTGGGGGTGGAGGGGCAGAAGGAGAGGCCCCGAGATAGGACAGGTGCTTCTGCTGGGCTAAGAGTATAGTTGGATAGGTTAACAATATT